TCCTCTAACCCAGCATATTTTCTCAACATTGATCCTTCACTCCAGCTTCGCTCTTCAGTCCAAACACTTTCCATAACTTCCTCCATAGCCACACCTTTTGCAGAAGCTCTTCTGGAGTTATAGGTGGGCTCCCTGATGCAGGCTGGCATGCAGCTTCCCCAAGTAACCCTGTGGACTCTGGCAGTGCTGCAGGGTTACTGCCTGCTGTGGAAGGCCCTGGCAGCTTGGATTTCAGATATACTCCCTCAGGTCTGTGCTTGTTGTCAGAAAAGGGGCAATTGCCTCATTTGCCTGGTTAGTTATTCCTGAAACTCTGTTGTAAACATAGTCTTCTATGTTAGTCCAAGGCCGTGTCGTTTTTGGAAAGTATAATATGCTGTACGCAGTAAGATGTGAGCAAACAAATGAAACAGCCCATCTATGAGAATCAGACCTGCTGGGCATTTTTTCTGAACATGAGTAATAAATTTGACGTGTGCATGAGGCATTTAACTTCTGATGCATGTGCAGCCCACATGAGAAGGGCAGGTTCAAGAAGTTCAGCCAGTGCTTCCCAGAACTTTGTGCAGTTGCACATGGCTGGGCTGACTGCATGTGGTAATCCACTGCAGCATGCAGGAACAGCACTTCCAACCAAGGCACGCAGCAGTCTGGAATCCTGGGACATATGACTGAGAGAATGCCTAGGGTCTGCAGATGAAAAGTCTAATAAAACCATCTGCCCTGCGAAGGCCACCAGTCAGCCTAGGCATGTCCTATTTTTCCGCTTCAAAAAGAGATTCAAGGTGAGAAATAAATATGCCCAGGAAATCCCAGACACCTGGTAGGCATTCCCACATTGGCTTCTGTGGTATCACAGCTCTCTTGTTAGCATTACCCGTCAGCCTGCTGAAATCTTAGAGAGGTTTGTCTACACAAGGCTCAAACACAGTATTGACTGCAGCATGCAGACAGTAATTTTATTAATGTTATGACTGGAACAATAGAAAGAGGTGTGTTGCCAAGCACTCTTCTGAGTTGCAAAGAAAAGCAATGGAAGCGTGAGGCAAAATATTATTTTTGGATATTGGAGAGTGCATAGTATGGAATATTTTGGAATTCATTTGTAGTTGGTCAGTGGCTTGTTTGTTTGGGACAGATAGCATTTGGATTTTGTTTTGTGTTTTTTCTTCTTACTACATTTTTTGGCTTTTAGACATGAAACAGTATGAACGGAAAATTAGGAGGAAAAAATTATTTCCATACTCTGAGAGCTCTTTTTTCCCTCTTACGTCTCTTTCTTTGTTCTTCAGGTTTTGTGACACACCTGTGTTAAAAACTCAGTGCTGAGCATGGAAGATAATACAATCTCCTCAGACTGCACAAGAATGTCTCTTAGATATCACTACTGACTGTTTGGATTGAAAGTGCATGAATAAGAAGAACATAGGGGATATGCTGAACTTAAAAAAAAAAAAAGGAAAAAAAACCCTCACACAAAAATGACTGATGAGTAGGAAAAAAAGATTAAAAAATTATTTGCCCTGAAGGTTCCTGCTGTGCCTTTGATGCTCATCAGTAACATTTCAGAGTGATAATCTCAAAACTATCCCTATGAGGGGTGCAAATGGATCAGTGAGTGAGTACTATGTTAGTAGTGATTAGTAGTGATAGCTGCGTATCAGTTGCTAAACTTTGAACTCAGATCCTAAAATCAATCATCGTGGTGCACATGCAAAAGAATAATCTTCCCTGCAAAAAAAAAATCGGGTTGTAAGTATGAGTAGCTAATATTCTCTGAACATGTCATGCTCTTTTAGACCACTTTTCTGTTTCAAATCCCCAGGAAAGTGACACCATGAACCACTCTCTGCTTTGTTCATATACATGACATAGTTGGGTCTTTCAGATTTTTTTTTATTGGAGATCTTGCTGGTAAAATATATGTATTAAGGGTAAAATTTTTGCCCTCAGAATTACCATATCTGGTACAGTAAAGAATTTTTTTTCTTAGAACATAGATTGTGACCATACGCAGTGCAGCTCTTTTCCTCTTTTAACTCTTCCCACTTTGTTTTCTGTCTTTTAGACAGTTCCCATACTGGAGAGCTCCTGGAAATAATTTTGGAGTCAGAAATTCTTTCTGTGTAAAAAATTTGAAACTTCCTCCAGCTGTGGGATATAAGCCAGCAGACAGGAGATTTGGACTTGCTTGCCAAGTCCTGCACAGTGTATGGCAGAAGAAAGGTCCATAATATCATCAAAGTTTGATGTGGAGGTTTTTCACTTTAAAAACAAGGTAGCAATGAGTGTTTAACACTAGAACAGAAAGAGAAATAAAAGTGTGATCTGGTTATTCAGGGTAGTTATGTATGTAGCTTTCTCACACTGATTTCCATGAAGAGAAAACAGCATCAGATGTGGCACTTGGCCCACTTACTCCTCTGTCTGGCATGTGTCTTCCCTTTATTCACTCCACGGTCTGGATCTGGACCACACATAAGGGCTTATCAGATTGATGGTACCACATGAGCATCCTGAGTCCCCATTCCAGACAGAAGGGAGAACTGTTCCCAGAATGGCTCCTCCCAGAACAACCTCAGGGGGACATGGTCTGACGTGGTGATGGGAAAATATGCCAATGGAGTCATAGGGGGTTAACATTTCTGTTTGCAAGATTGGAAAAAAGCATACTCATTATGAGTGAAATTTGAGCTCTAGAAAAAGTCAAGAAGAGGTTGATATTAGGTTCAGTGATGGCAGGATTTAACTCTGTGTCCTTATTGTCAAATTTAAAGGTTTTTTAGGTAAATGCTGTAAAAACATTATAAACATAATTCAAAACAAAATAACTCTGATTTCCTTAGTAAAACTTCCATTAGCAGCCAACCATGAACTGGTAAATTGACACCAGGCTATTATTTTTTATCTGGAAATCTTAGCTGAGGTTGCTATTAGTTCAGGAGTCTCTTCATGTCCTGTCGCTTTACTCATTCTAGGTTTCCCTAAGACATGTATTTTAAATGCATTTAAAAGTAATTTAAAATGCAAGTACAAAACTGGACAAAGACAAAGCCAAGGGTAGTGGTATCCAAGCTTGAAAATGTATGAGGAGAAGAGTATTTATGATTAAGAGGTGCAAAAATACGTGTGTAAAAGGAAATAAAACCTTTAGGTATTGGACTGGAGTAGTAATTTATCCTTTGGCAGTTCCATCATGGACTTTTGACTATGGACCTCAAATGGGTCTGGCACCAGGGCTCTGGTAAAGGAAATGAGGAGTGGCTGGTTTGATAGGACAGGCAGCTGGACCTTTTCCTTTCTTTAATGAGACCTGCTCCAGCCATACTGCACTACAGCTCATTCTTGCTACTGCTGTACCATGTCCCATGCCATCTACCAAATGCCATGAGAACAAGCAGCAGAAGCAAACACAAACATTTATTCCTTGCCTCATAACAAATTCACGGTGTTTAGCTAAGGTTAAAATGCTTAGGTGTATGCTTGTCGTCTGTTTATTGCTGTGGTTTTGTTTTATGCTAAATAATATTTTTATCTACCTTGAAGTTCAGAAGTGGATTTAAGGGAGGGGAGGAGACTAATCTAATGTGCCTCATGAGGGACAAATTTCTCATTTCCTCAAGGAAGGAGAAAACGCAGTCAATTTTTTAAAAATGTCTTTTATTACAGAAGCCAGCTACTAAGGAAAGAGTCTGCTGGGCCTCAGGAGCCTGAGTGAATCATAGTATTTAACATTTAACCCTTACCTAAGCGCTTTCCTAATACATGCTATTCAGTGTAGTGCTTTCTGAAGTGAGGTAGAGGCTAACCTAGCCATTCAGCATCCAAAGACACAGTACCAGAAAGCTTTGGTCAACAGCTGCCTAGCATCTGCTATGCCTACTTAAAGGCACCTACTGCTCCTTTACTGATTCTTAGGTGTTATGGTCAACAGTGTTTAGTCTATATAATCGAGAAAGCTTTATTCTGCTGCCCCTACATTTCATTGGAAATGTGCTGGGTGTCCAAGGGATCCACACGGGGCTGGCAAATATGTATAGGACCTGCGGGAGATCAGTGACTTGCTGGGGGTTAGATGGGTGCCTTGGGGCATTAAATGCCCATATGCAAGCAGTTGTATGGATGTTGATGAAATCTAGAAACGTATTTAGCTAACTGTTGCCAAGTATCTGCCATAGGGTCAGGTTAATTATTCCATATAGGTTCGATTGATTTTATTGACTGGACTGCCAGTGAGTGTTCAGATTTTAGTTCAAGTACAGAAGCCTGAATAAAGCTGGAGCTGAATCCCACCCTCACTGAGCATAGTCTGGAATGGTTTATTCAGACCTTTTTTGATCTTAACCCTGCTTTATTGCAATGGAGACAAGGATTCTCTTTCCTACTTAGAAAACAGAGGCAAGATCTCAATTTTTCAGTTCTCTGTGCTTTTTATCACTAAGGTATTAAGTATCTAAGAATTTGTTTTTACCTTAGAATGTCTAGAAGCAGAGCTAGCCTAATTCCAATTGCCATGTTTGACCTCTTTAATTTGGGAAAATCCAGATCTCTAAATAGCCACAATTTCTTTGAGCATTTGTCCATACATGGGCTTCAGCCTCCATATCCGCATGCCACAGGCTGGATTCCTCTGGCCAGGATGTGCCCAGGCTGTGTATGCAAGCTCAGCACTTCCTGGCCAAGAGAATGCTGACTGCCATGACCAAACCTCTGCTCCCTTCCCTCTTGCTGTCTGAGCTATATCCTGACATCTCCTTGTATGTAATTAACTGTCTCAGCTACAGTGTTATCCAGCTGCAGGATTTTTACCCAATGACTCATTAACCCCCCTGCCAAAAAAACTTTGGTTTTTTCCTTCTTTTTTTCATTTTGCTTTGCTTTGTTTTGTTTCTGTGTAACAGACAGCCAAACATGTTAGCCTTTCCTTACAGATTCCCATATTCTGGACAACTGTACCAGATTCAAATCTTTCTCAAAGAAATTATCACGACAAAGAAACATCAATTATACACATTTTTATTTTGTGACTAGGCAAGACCACCTTCCCAGATTTTGGTGTTCCTGGCCATGACTCAGTCCATATTCTTCCAAAGTGTGCTTTCCTCAGCTGTGGATCACACATTTAGTTTAGACAGTCTTACACTCCCTTGCCACGGACCATTTCTGCACCATTGTTTAAAAATCTCCCTGTTAGACATTGATAATGCAAACAGTCGGGAATCAAATGCATAGCTTTACAGAGAAGCATCAAGATAGATCATTCAATTGGCAGAGGTGTGCAGCAGTCTCATCTTACTTAGATTTCAGGCTTTGTTTGCCTTGGATGAACTAACTGTTCCTAAATCCCCCAAAGTGACATGCATGCATGAACAAAGCAGTCTAAGGTACTTCACTTTATTCTAGTTCTTTGAGAGGTGTTGATAAACACAGGTGAGCACACAGATAGGCAGTGACCTGAAACTTGTGATGAAATCACATCTGAATGAAGGATCTATGGCCATCATCTCCTTCATAGCATCCTTCACACAGAACAGAATCCACAGATAAAATTTGTCCAAAGGATCTGACTTCAAAATTGTGTAATGCATAGTTACCTAAAGTAGAATATATTTCAGGGCAATACATGGATAAATATTAAACTTACTATACAAACACTTGGTATAAACACCATTTTCCAAAGAACTTTTTTTTTTAAATTGAATATTTCACTAGAGAAGATATATATTCACATGTGGGTTTTTGCCAGCTACTTGCAAGATAAACCTACACGATACAAGTAACATTTAAAATCACCAGTGGCTTTAGCCATTGTCAGTGACTTGAAAACATATTGCAATCCAAGACAAATAGGAAGCACAGAGAAAAAGTTATAGTGGACATGACAGAATTTTTGCAGTGCTGAAAGAACAGAACTTGTATCACAAATAGCATTTTTTTAACCTACAAAACCAAACAATTTAAAAAACCACATGATGTGTCCTTGAACGACTCTTTTATAGAAATTGGAAACAGCAAAAGGAACTACATAGCAAAATGTGGTACAACTCTGAATATGGAAAATGCTATTTTGAATCAGAAGGGGGGTAGTTTCAAACAGACCTCCTTAGTTCTTTCACATGGCTGAAAATCATGAAATTATTTTTGTGACCAATCACGAAATCTTTCTCTGTTGGCTGAAATGAAGTTTTTATTTCTGATCATTTCACACATCAGGACAGAAGATTTTTTAACAGAGTTGGGATTGGAGTGTTTTTAATTGTTTTAAGGGCTGATGCAGATATTATGAAACAACAGATACATTTACACTTTACAAGATTAAGAATAATCTATTCCTTAAAGTCAGGATTTTTTTCCCCTACAAGACAAAATAGGACATAACAGACCAGGGAACACACAGAAACAATTTTGCCCTGGATGATTTAACACAGCACATAAATGAGTTTCTGGGCACTGTAACACACTTTCTTTCTACGTCTACTTGGTTGAGAAAATATTTTTATTTTTTCTCTCAATTCATCTTTTACTCTGAAGTTCAGCTATGCAAAATTGACACCATTCTACTCAAGATACCTGTTCTTTCCCTCTAACAGCTTCCAAACTTCTAAATTCAGTGATTAAAAAAGCATTTTCTCTTCTCTATTCCAGACCACACTGTACAATCTCTTCAGTATGATTTTACATAAATTGTGATTCCAGAACCTTTATTGCTAACCCTGGAGCTAGAAAGAGCTCAGATAGACTTTTCAATTTTGTGATGAATTTTTCAAGGTTCTTAGTCAGTTAAGACACAATCTTTTAGTCATAATCTGAGTAGATTTTGTATGGAACTCCTGAAAGACAATATATACATACACACTAAAGACATGATCAGACAGAATATTCAAACCATTCTAAAGTTCTACTGACCTAAAATTATTAAACTTTCCAAAAGGACACTACTGGTCTTTCATCTTTAATATCCAGGTAGAACTTTTGTCAGAACTTAAGTTACAGGAGGTTTTGTGAAATGAATATAAAATGGGTTGAATCATGCAATGCGCTTATACTTCTCTTAGTCAAAATGGTACTTGTAATGATGGGAGGCTACAGAGTAGCTGGTACTATTCATACAATTATCTCTGTGATCTTAGCACCAGTGCAGAGAGACGGATGGAAGATGGCAAAATGTTCCTCTTTGGAATATTGGTAGTGTCTGTACAAACCTGGTCATTCAGATTATAGTTTAGTAGAGCTAATGCAGTATACCTAAATATTTCCAAAATTGCTAGTAAATCTCTATTAAGACCTCCCCAGGCTTGTCTTCTAACCAGTTCTAATGTTCAAGTCCAAGCTATTTTAAAAATGCCTGTATATTGTCAGTGGGATCTGATTTTTTTTTTTATTCCTTAGGAGGCCTCATTTACATGGCTTCCTTGCTACAAAATTGATAATTCTTGATCTTAAGTGCAGAAGTGCAAAACCAGTTCTTACCGAGGAGATAATACTCTGTTGATAGATCTATGGCAACTGAAGAAAACAATACACTGTCCACTGTAAAGCCACTCACACAGCTCCTGATGCTTCATCCTTTCTTTAGAACAACAACAAACAAAAGCCAGGTGACTTGATCTTTTTCTTGAGCAGGTCATTCACTTCTTAATCTTCCTAAGGTGAAATCCATCCTGTTGGAATGGGATATATATTCGGTTTACATGCTACTTAGTCCTGCTTAAGTCCCACTTGTGTTTAGGAACATAAGTGACTCAGTTTTTGCACATGCCTTGTGCAGCCCACCAGAAGTAAGCAGTGGTTAGAGATCATAGATAGTGATCTCTGTCCTAATACAGGCAAAAATTCACAGAATATGTACTGAGGGGTTTTTTCCTCTCCTGAAATTTGTGGCTCCTCCTTATGTCTGACCCAAGTACATCACGTTATTTCAGGCTTCAGCAAAACTCCTTCTCCTTCTTCCTCCTTCCTCACAGCTTATCTGATTTGATCACATAACTTAGCAGTGCAGACTGTATAACCAAAATACGATGTATCCCTAGCGAATTTCTACTGTGTTACCCATTTTGCAAATCAAGTACAGTGTAATCCAGTAAAGATATCAATTAGCTTATTTTGATAACTTTTTAAAAAGTTAAAATGACCAAATGTTTTCGGCAGCTTGACCTAAGCATAAACAGAAATTTTTCTGACAAACTTTAAGGAGTGCACAAAAATATATCATAGGGGTAAGATTCAATGGAAAACCAGAGCATAAATATATGTACTAGAGAAAGAAAAGAGTCTGGAAAAAAACTGCATTTGTTGAATACTTACCAGTTGAGCCCTGCTCCAAGAGTCAAGTCCAAATGCTTCTGGAACAATAGGCTAGGGCTAAAACCCATTTTGCAGTTGCTACAGTTTTGCTTGTAGTTGTTTGAGGTCCTTTTTTAAAATCTCCTTATGCACATAAAAGAATCACGTGACTCCTTTACTAAATTGCATATTTGTAGTGAAATAGTTTGACATATAGACTCACAGAGAAGCAGAGATATGACTAATACAATTTCTGTTTGTTTGTTTTTCACACGTTTTTCAAAACTTACCTGGATTGTTTGGATGTTGCCTTGTATAACTGAGTAAGCTTACATTTTTTCCAGGTCATTCATAAGTTTTACTGTAAAAGAGAAAGATAATGGCATTGCAATAACCAAGACAGGAGAGGAGAAAAAAATATGCAAAATCTTGTCTCCATACAGCTATGTCAGCTAGAATTTTGAACTGTATTCCAATGATAACTTATTCATTCATTGAAGTTTATTTAAGCTTTTGCGGTTTTTCTGATGGATGGACTTGGAAACTGCCATGACACTTTTCAGCATCATGTTACAGCTAAACCAGAAAGATGATGTGGGCACTATTTTATCAGCTCTGCACTTTTCTGTATTTTCACTTTCATTTCCTCTAAGTATCAAACAGTTATATTGGCTTGGTGTGAGACACACAAACATTTTAGCCAGTAGCAATCAGGAGTAACAATGGGCTGTCATCTGGGCGCTTCAGACTACCCGACGCAAACCCCCAGGTGACCAGGAGTTAGCTCACAGCATGAAACCAAGGCAAGATTTGAGTTCAGTCCCAGTGGACCTTCAGAGAAACACCTCTGTTTGAAATGTTAAAGGCAGCAAAAAAAGTGGAAGAAGGGCAGGCAGATTTGCCACTTCAGGGAGGGACACATTACTCTGTTGTTTTCAAGGATGGCAGACAGGATACTCTAGTTTTTGGCTGTCCTGTGGTCTGACATCTCATTGGCAGCAGCAAGTCATGGGGCTTGCTTCTGGAGTGCATCTGCTGGTTTCATTTCATTCAAAAAACATCAGGTTCATGCACTCCAGGATGACTCTGCAGCAAGAACCACAACGTGAATAGTGAGAGTGATCAGGAGATTCCCATCAAAAGCACACATGTCTACAACACTAAAATCCATCTGAGTTCATTTCCTAGGGTTTTCAATTAGACCTTGGAAAATTCCACAGATATGGTCAGGAGGGAATAAAATGATCTAAAACAATAGTCTCTCTCTCCTTCACTCACTGAAGCTGTACAGGGAAGGCTAACGATAGAATTAGGCATTATTCTACTCTTCCTGTCTCAAGGAGTTGCACAATAGAAAGAAAAATCTGTGTTACAACTGTACTGAGGATTGGTTCTAGTACTAAATATTTTCTCAGGGATCTTCAGGAATTGACATGGTTGCGAAAATATGCTCTCTACCTAGTTAACTTTTTCCTTCTGTTCCTGAGCAAGTTCACCTGTCTGACTGAAGAGAAAGTTCATTCAGTTCACCATCATCCCTCATGTCTTCTCTTTTTCCTTTCATACCCACCATTGCTCTAGCTTACATTTGATATACTGCCTGAGATACAGTAAATAAAATTCTAGCCAATACATCAGTGGATAAAAGCTGGAACAACTAAAAAAAAATAATTTTGAAACAACAGATTTGCAAGTCATCGTGTGCCTTATGCACTTCTATCCTTTCCTGAGCCTGTTTTTTTCCACTGCAGGACCTTTTAAGAGAAGACTATCTCTTACCCTCTATTTACAGAATCAGCCCTTACGGTCACTGGAACCTCCAAGGACTACCACATTTTAAAAAATAAGTAAAACAATAATGCACAAAAGAGAAGAATGTGTCTATCAGACAGAATTATTTAGTTCTATCTCTATTGCATAAATTTAATCAGATATGACCAAAATTTTTCATTCAAGTTTTCATTGCCAAGAAAACTTTGGTAGATCATTTTGACCCAGACAAAACAATTACAGAATTGTCTGAACTATAAATATTCCTGTTTCTTTCTTTAACCTTGGCTTGCATTTCATTTTCCTCTGCTTAAGCAATACTATTTCATTCTAAAAGGTTTAAGGGGAGTGAATAAAAAAATTAATAAATAAAACAAATAAAAGATAGATACATAACAGAACCCCTCTATGGTTTATATAACCTTCTCTAGTCATGAGAAAAGAGTTCTGAGGTCTTACAAGGGTTATACCCCTTGGGCAGATTTCCAAAGATTGTGAAGATTGAGACTACAGAGTTAACATGAATTAATAGCTAGTGTTCTGCAATCCCTTCAAAATATGATGTGTTTGTGTGCTTATGAAGCAACTTGGGAGGTTAATGAGTAGAAGTACGTACTCCACATAATCATTTAAATTAATTATATTTGCAAAAAAAAAATTAACATATTGTCTGCATCTTTGTCTTTGGGCATCTAATAAAATATGTTAAATGTTTCCTGATTACTATTATCCACTTATGTCTAAATAATATCAAACACTAGGTATTCCATGACACTTTTTTCTAACAGATTTTTCTGTTACCCAATTCCCTACATCCCCAATCCCACCTGCAGAGTTCTTTGGTTACAGGTCCATAACCTGAGGCCAGGTGATTTATCTGCCAGTGCTCATATTAAGCACTTCTCTTGCCATATCAAATGTTGAGACACCTTGTGAAACCATGAGTGTCACTGATAGGTAGGAACTATCTCTCAGCAATTAAGCATGACAGAACTGTCCTAGGCCACAAGTTCATAGAATCATATATTCAGTACTTACTAACAATGTAAATATATACAGCTACAAAATTAGTCATATTTTACAGTGGGAAGAGGCTATTATGAAGACTTTTTGCACTCTTAAAGACACAGACCACTGATGTGCAGCTGCAGCTGGTTGCTGTGGAGTCCTTGGTTCATGCTCAACCCTTTCAGAAACTGTGGGATACAGAGTGGTTCCTCTGTCCATTTAAACAGTGCTTCTGGGCTGAAGTTTCATTTCGAAGTATGTACCAGTAAGAGCAGAGATGAGTGCCATGAAAATGAGGAAACAATTTTATGATTTTTTAAACAAAACACTAGTGTTTCTCCATTACAGAACTTCTTGAAAGAGAAAGATAAAGCCTCCTCTACCAGCACAGCATGAATCAATGTCAAAACTTATCTGAAAAAGCTGAAGGGATTTCCAGTGGGATGCCAGCAAAGATGAAGCTCCATTTCAATACAGCATCCCAGTTAATTCCCTAGTGAAGAAGCAGCAGAAATTCATGCAGTGGGATGACTGCTGTCCTGTTGGAAGGTAAAACTTGGTATTAAAAAAGCAGAGGGAGTGGAGGGAGGAGGCGGGGAAATAGCTCTAGGGAACACATTCTGGCTTTAATTCCTATGGGGGATTAAGCATTTTATGTTATGGTTTCTGACAAAGACAGCATGAATGCAATTGTAACTGATCTGTATGGTTTAAAGAAACCTTTCACACGGTCTACAGCTCCGAACCACCTGGTCTGGCAGGCAGGACTGCTTTTTTGCTTCACTAAAAGACCACCAAACCTGGTATGAACCACAAATTATCTCAAATTTTACAAAAGATGAAGCCCTGCCAAGACTTTCAGACTAGAGAAATTCAGAATAACATTTGTGTGCATCTGAATATCAATTTCTCAGGACCCTGTGTGGCCTGCCTCCTTCCTTCCCTTCCTCTGTCTCCCTCCCTCTCTCCTAGAGGTTTAGCTGACCGCAGGCAGGGCTGTTGCCCACAGCAAAAGCTGCTGCGAGGGAAGAACTGGAAAATGCCCTGGCCAGGGCTGTATAACCTTTATTTGGAGGCTGCCTCAGATGAGGCTCCTACTCTCAGTCTCACCACGTTTTCCTGCAGTCATGTCTGACCCTGGCTCCCCCCAGCAGGCCCATATCCTGACCCCCACCTGCCGGCCCATGTCCTGGCCCATTCTCAGCCCATCACCATCTCTAGGGAGGTGACTTGATGCCTGGTGTTCCCAGCTGCCCTGCTCCTTGCTGGGGGATAAGATGGACCCTGGCTCCTTAGTCATGCCCCAATGGACCCCCGTGGTCAGGCCCACATCCCTCAGGGACTGCAGAATCACAGAATACGCCGAGTTGGAAGGGACCCACAAGGATCATCGAGGGCAATTCCTAGCCCTGCACTCATTCCCAAATCTCTGAGCCCTGGCCCTGAGCACAGGACCCAGCCTTCAGCTCCTGACAAAAATTTGGACCACAAGCATTAGGACTGCAAGATAACCATGAATTTTTTAAGATGGGATTTAGCTTTTGAAGAGTCTCACTTTTACGAAGAAATCTAGCCTAACAAATTTTGAAGAGAGTAGCATTAAAAAAACATGTCCCTTTCATCAAGTTGCACAATACCTGAGCTAACAGTAAAAATGAAAATAATATCCTGTACACACTGTCGTTGGCTACGGGATTTAAAATACTAAAAGTAATCCCATTATTATAGCCCTGGCCTCAGTAAACATTTGTTGTACACCAGAAAGAACCCAGAACAACTAATATCAATATGCATTCAGAAATAACGACAACCTTAAAGCATTCTTATGGGCAAAACTGCCTCATTATTTACTTTACAAGCTTCAGGACTAGGATTTCTGAAGCTCTTTTTCAGTCCACTTTTAAAGTGAGAACGCACCCCATCTTTCCCGCAGGACTTCCCTATTTTTCAAGGCCTCATCACTTTACGCTTGTACATAATGGAGCTGTTTAAATGTGGCAATAGGAGGTCTAATGAAATATTACCACTCCATTTCTTCAAGGACTCCTTTGGATTCTTGTGTCATTTATCCTTCTCTGAATCATAGTGTTTACTTTGGACTCTTCTTCTGGAATCGGTCTTCAGTGTGCCTGATTGATTTGATGAATCACTGAGCTGCCAGTGACCTTTGACCCCACTCAAGAACAGAAATGTTTCTCTGAGGCTGGCAGCCTGTGCTCTCTCTTGGCACTGCTACAGGTTTTCTCTGAGGAGCAGCTCTTTGATGACACGTAGTCTGCTTGGAGGAGGCCTATTGACATCACTGGAATTGGCTTCCCTTGCACACTGGGGGTAGGAGATACAATTCAAGGAGATTTGAAAGGCACGGGAGGATGGGGGAGGGGATGGTCTTCTGCGAGTCACTGATCAAATGGCTTGTTTCTTCTCCAGAGTCAGAAACAGTTCTCTTCGAAGTGGGGCAAGGGATTTGAGGCCATTGGCCTGCGTGCAGCTGGGACTCCAGCTGAGTTGCTGTTGTCTGCTTAGTAACAACAATTTTTCTCAGTTAGAAACTTCAGAAAACAGCATGTGTTTGGAGAGGCAGGACAATGCTGTTGCTGCTGCAAAGTACGGGGTATCCTCATCTCCCTACTCTGACTGCAGTGGAAGCTGAGAGCTCTCAGCACTTTGTTGGCAGTGATCATCACCTCGTGATTAGGTCCATGGACAATTAAGGCTTTCAGATATTCCACACAGAAGTGATGAAGAGTTGCAAACATGAGGTTCTGATTCTCACTACTGTTATGAAGTGTGACTATTGAAACATTTATTTCCACTTCCAGTATTTGTCCATATGTGTTCTCCACTATGGGGTATGAGGACACAGTGTGGGGTTGCAATTTGAAATCTTTGGCAAGCAGGATCTGCTGGGGACATTCCTATTTCTCATATGTCCACCTCCTGTGATGCCAAAAGTGTCAAGGGCAGTTCAGGTATAATAGCAGTTTCTTCTCAGCATTCATGTTCTCCCCGGATAATCACTGGTATTATAGTCAGTAGGTGCAATAATCTTAGCTTAACAGTGCTAATTAGGTAGCTGTTCCCTGAAAGTTCTTTAATCAGATTTAGTTTGTAGTCAGAAATCAAATGATATTCCTCCTTTGGGATAAACTGTTCTACGTTGGGATTGCTGGATTGAAACAATGCCCATCTTTTAAGACAGAATCACTTCTTGCTTGAAGAATGCAGTATTTTACCAAGAAGGGCCTCAGAAACTGCAACAAGTATTTAAAGATGCTTTTTTCCTTTCTTTTTTTCTTTCTTTTTTAATTTTCCCACACCCTTCCCTATTCAGTCCAACTAATCCCATCTGAAATCTCAGAGTTCAGAGTAACAGTTCCTCCACAGTTCTGTGTTCCCAGGATTCATACTCACTCCCCCTGGTCCAGGAGGCTCTGCTCACCCTTATCATTTTTATCCTGAAGGAATTATCACTCTTGAACGGTGTGTTTTTAGGACAATGGTAACTGAATATGCAATCTAGATGAAAGAGGTCTCTTCAATCAACTTTTGCTAAAGAAATCTAATTGTTTTATTCAATCTTGTCCCAAAGGGCCTCTGCACACAGAAATCGGGACTTCAGGAAATGCAAGAGACCTAGTCAGCATCTGTAGCCATGTCCTTACCTAATTATCCATGTGGAGACTAGAATAACTGCTAGCATTGCTTACAGAGATCAGTGGCTTTGTTAAGTTCATTAACACTATATGCTTTTGTTTCTTTAACCTATGTCCGTGCTGGTCCAGAATGAAAAATGCACAGCTCTAAGTTCACAGTGGCAAAGGACATCCAGATTTCGAAAGAACAAGCTACTCCTGCTCTCAAATGGGTTGACCATTCCTCTAGTACACATGTAACAGCGGACAGACAGCCTGATACAGACAAGTGGAAAAGCAACCAACTGTCTAAACAGAAAGTAGGTTGCACAAAATTGGGGCAGAATTGTAGAGAAAAGCACCTTACATGACAGATGATCACAAACTAAACTTTTGAAAAAAATAAAAACTTCATACTGGATATTTATAAACTGGAGCGTGGTTTTGCAAGACACATGATGCAATCTTTCTGCTCTTCTTGTAATCAGATTTGAGTCCCA